AAATGACATAACGGACCTATTCAAATTTCCAAAATCAGATTTCGACCCCGATATCAAAAAGTCAACTCCCCGGTCAAACTTTCAAATAAAAATTTCTATTTTAGTCATTTCAAGCCTAATTTAACTATGGACTTCCAAATAATTTTTCGGACACACTCCTAAATCCAAAATTATCATACGAAGCTATTGGAATCATCAAAACTCTATTCCGGTGTCATTTACATATAAGTCAACATCGGTCAACCTTTTCAACTTAAGTTTTAAACCTTGGAACTAAGTGTTCCAATTCATTTCAAAACCTTATCGGACCCAAACCAATTACCCAAACAAGTAAAATAACAATCGTAAAGCAAAATTTGAGTAGTAAATGAAAAAACAAGATTGTAATATTCAAAACGACAGGCTGGTTTGTTACATCGGACTAATATTCTCCGTGTCATTTTCTATAAGGGATAACTCTGATAAAATTATCTCGTCTCTATGAGAAATTTTATCAAACACCTCATGCTCGAAAGTTGCTGACAAGCTCTTAACAGACTCGACAGGTGTCATCTTGAGAGATAGGAGCGGATTTGGGTGTTACAGACAACTTAGAGTCCTCTTTATCCTTCACTACAAACTCATCCTTCGATCCCAAAAATGTATCTGTCTGGGACCCCTGCAACTTGGCCTCCAAAGCATCTGTATCTACTCAATCGTCCAAATCAGAAGAATTGAAGCTATTATGTAGAGGAGCAATGATAGGGCCCTGAGGTGGAAGAGTAACCCTAGTCTCGAAACGTACATATTGAAAACGAGTCTGTGAAAGATAGGCTAGACGCTCCACTGAATTGGCAAAGGTCTGTTTCTAGAAACGCATTACTAAATTCTCTGTAAAATGCTTCCAATCCCAAAATTAGTTGTTTCGATAAAACCAATCAAACCAAGAAAGTGCAGCGCCATCAAGGTAGAGGTAAGCTAGAGATAACCAATCCTTCTCCAAGAAGCCACGAAAGTTGAAGTACCACTCGGCCCAAAAAATCCAACCCGCTGGATCATCATCGCTGAATCGATCTAATAATACCGTCATTGGAGTACAAATCAATGAAAGCACCAATGTAACGAATCAGAGATTACACCCGAACCAACTAATTGTATTAACTCACCAAACGGAATTACAATAACCAAATGTCCACAGAACAATAGCAAACAACACTGAAGGAAATAGAGACGAAATGAGAAAAAAAACTGCAACAAGAAACTAAGAAGAAAGAAGATGAGATACAGATTGAGAAGAGGAGATGAGAAGTACACACTTGAGTCGACGCTTTAACATAATTCGCATAATCCTTCTTTCTAACCTCATAGTCCTTTTTATCCACTTGCTAACTGGTCCTAGATCCCAAATATAATTCTCCAATATTTTACTCGACCCAATAATCTCAATTGACCCCAGTCTCATTTATCCCTTCTAGCCTGCAGGCCCTTATGGAGTCAACTTGGTTTACAACAGAATATATGTTAAAAAACACATGGATACGCCGGCCTGGAACGTTGGGCCTCGGTCAAACTGCAAATAGCATAGCAACAGTTATGCAACTACTTTTTCCGTCATTTTCTTTTTTGATAAAGTTGGTTAGTAACCCGTTTGGCCAATCTTTTTCAAAGCTAAACACACTTTTTTTTTCAAAGTTGAAGCGTTTGACTAAGTTTTTAAAAGGAAAAAAAAGAGCTTTTGATTTTAAGCAGAAGCAGTTTTTGAAAAAGCAGAAAAAAATAACTTCTCCCCAAAATTACTTTTTTGAAAAGTACTTTTGAAAAAAATACACTTAAAAGCATTTTTTAAAAGTTTGGCCAAGCACTAATTATTGCTCATAAGTGTTTTTCAAATTAATTAACGAATACAAACTGCTTCGGTCAAACAGGCTATAAGACAGATTTGTGTAATTAAATTAATGATGATCTTTTGACTGATTATTTTACGCTTGATATATTTATAATCGCTTCCCTAGTGAAGATTATCTAAACCAAATATGAATTATCTCGTTACGAAACTATGGATCATATTTTACCGTATATTTGGCCAGTGCATGAGAAAAACTATTTGAATCAACTAGAGAAGTCTGACAACTATTGCAAAAGAGGTTTTTAATATATGTGTTTTTCTAACTTAAATAACATTCTTCATGATATGCACTATTTGTTTTTACATTTACAATAAATTAAAAATAGTAATTAGAAAAACTTGGAATTACAAAATTGTCTAAACATTTCTAGCATAAACTTAAAAGGAAAAAGAAAAACAGAGATGACTTCCAAACAGAAGCTTTCCTAATGATTCAGATTTATGAAAAGAAGTGTTAAAATTATAGTTTACCTCAAAGTCTTAACTATTAGTTCGTCAAATTTAAACAAAGCATTGTATATCCAAAAAATAAAAAATTAATTATAGTATAATTTTATCCAACATGAAATATAGTATTAAAGGATAAAAAAAGTCACTCAAGATATCGTATTAAATTATTTCAATAAGAAACAATGGTTCATATTTTACAAAATATTAATGTCTTTATACATTAAGTCATTAAGAGAGTTACTAAAACGAGGTTTCTAATATATATTATTGTTTCAATTTAGATGTCACACTTTCTTTATTACTCCAGTCCAAAAAGAATAACACATTTGTACAATTGGAAATAATTCAACTTTAAACTCTTCTTTTTACTAATTTTATCATTAATGAGAAGGTTTTATAACCACACAAATATCATGGTCCTACAAAACTCTTACCTCTTAAATTGTTAGGACCATAAATTTCAAATTTTTTTTTTTTAAAACTATGTGCCGAGTCAATATACCTATTTAAATTGAAATGAAGATAGTACTATATGTTTTCTACTAACTCAATAGCAATAATAGGTTTTACATTTCAAAATAACCCAAATGAACGCAATGTAAGGCGGAGAATGCTTTGGAGTTTAGTGATTTGGACCAATCATGAAAAATTATAATTACGAGGCCATCCAATCCAGACACGTGCAGATTTGTTTGGCAGAAACATACAAAAGAAAAAAAGAAAAAAAGTCCGACAAAATGTAAGGTTAATTCAGTGCGTACTGAAGATTGATTGAACTTCCAAATTCTAATAGCCACACTTTTTCACACATGTTAAAATGAATTGAATGTCACCCTTGAAAGAATTGGGCCATCCCAGGTGCCCATACCTTTATGACAAACAATACTTCAAATTTTTAGGCCACACATTTTACTAACACTCAAAAGTTGTTGTCTATCTTTCAATATGCTTTTGAGTACACTGAGGCGTGAATTATAAACAATAGCCTTGGTTTGAATTTTAGTTAGGGCTTAGGGATAATCAAGCTCGAATTGATATTTTTTCTCCGTATGGATTGACTTTTATCTAAGAAAAGATAACTCGATCCATAAAATGATCAAATAAATTAATAATGTAAGTTGTGGTTTTTCATTCTTCCTGAAAATGAAAAAGAAGCCATTTTACTCAATTAGCAATAATTTTTTTTGTAGACTTCTGGGCAGGAAATAAAGAAGAATAAGGAGAAAGTGTCCCCTCCAGTCAAGAATTAGGATCCTCCAAGTTTAACCAGTGAATCAATTTTCAATACTACACATATTTTTATTACAACAAATTTAGTATAATCCCACAAGTCGAGTTTGGGGAAAGTTGTGAGTACACGTATCTTACCTCTATCTTGAAAAGATAGATAGGTTGTTTCTGATAAACTCTTAGCACAGGAAAAAATAAAAAGAGAAGTAGTAGCAACAAGCGGTAACAACAACAAAATAATAAGAACGGAAACGAAATAAACAACATGTAGTCTAGTAAGAAAATACAAGACTAACACTAATACTCAGAGGCAGATGCATACTATACGTAGAGGGGTCACCAACACCTGAAAACTTAACAAAAATATTATATATACTTGTAAATATTTTTATGAAATAGTCAGATATTAGTATAGGCCCCTTCACCAATCTTTATGAATAGTGATATTGAATGTCATGGTGACCAGCGACAGCCGAATCCTGGGTCTGCCTCTAATAATACTACTGGTATGGAAAAGAAAAATGCTCGACTATCTACTAACTTTCTACCCTAATTCAAGATCTCTATACCCTCCTATCAAGGATCATGTTCTCGGTAAGTTGAAGCAGCGTCATGTCCTGCCTAATCATCTCTCTCCAATACTTCTTTGGTCTACCTCTACTTCTCCTCAGACCTACCAAGGCCAACCTCTCGCACATCCTACTGGAGCATATGTGCCTCTCCTTTTCACATGACCGAACTATCTTAGCTTCCTTCCTGCATCTTGTCCTCCACGGGAGCTATTCTCACCTTGTCCCGAATATCTCCATTCCTAATCTTATCTATTCTGGTATAGCCGCACATCCATCTCAATATCCTTATTTCTGATACTTTCATTTTCTGAACATAAGAGTTCTTGACTGGCCCATACTCTACGTCATACAATATAGTCATTCTAACCACCACTCTGTAGAACTTACCTTTAAGTTTTGGTGGCACATTAGTATCACACATAATACGGATGCGAGCCTGCTTTCATCCATCACGCTCTAATAAAACGTTTGACATATATTTTTTAGTGCATACTGAGGCATGTATTACAAACAGTAGCCGTAATTTGAGTTTTAGTTAAGAGTCTCACTGTCAGGCTATATGGTTTTATTAAAACTCAAAATTTAAATTCTCCATCTATATATTTTCTAATATATGCACTGGAGTGTGTATAATTTGAGTGATGTCTGACTCTCAGGCCACACGTTTTTATTGAGACACAAAATCAGGATTCAAAGTTAGTTGTATATATTTTAAATATTTTTTTACAAACTTATATATAATAATTCAAGTAAAAATAATGAGTCCAGTTAAATCTACAACTCCGGTCCAAGGTTTTCTGCCTTGTCATCGTTCTCAACCTTAAGAATCATCACTTGTGCTAATCCAGTTCAGGTCTTCTAGTGAGGATCCAACGTTGAGTTTGCCTCTTTTCCTTGTATTTTTTCTGATTTAATGATAGGGACATGCCACCATAAGGCATAATTAATTTTTTTTTAAGACAAAAAAACTTAAAAGTTGCTACTGTATGAACCACTAATCACTCACTCAAATTACCTCGCACAGATCCACCGACAATGCTCTCTAACCAATCCCCAGCAATACCAACCTCTCAACCATGAACACTGCTCACGAATCATAACTACCACCCTCTTCCCTTCCAGACACCCTAACGGGTGGCTCTATGCATATTGACTCCCCTGATCCCACAATTACCTCTTTTACACGCCCAACATCTTACCTCAACACGCTAATCTCTAACACTCCTGTACCCCACTCTCTTTTTCAACTTTACTACCCAACTACACACCTAGACCTCACCGATGAAAGTAACGCACCAAATGATCCCACAAACTTTATCCCACTCTCACCGGAGGAGAAAAATAGACTCTATGCACCATGGAAACACTCCGTCATTGTCAAAGTTTTTGGACGCAGAATTGGACACCAACTTCTTCGCCAAAAAATATACGCTCAATGGAAGCCAACTGAAAATCTTCCACTAATTGATTTAGGATCTGACTTTTTCTTAATTAAATTTTAACAAAAAGAAAATATGCTTCGTGCTCTTCATGATGGCCCTTGGTTTATCTTAAACCACTTTCTCTCCGTCCGTCAATGGGAGCCTAAATTCATGGCCTCCGAAACAATACTAACCTATTCCGCCATCTGGCTGCACCTCCCTGAACTACCTACAGAGTTTTACGACTTTGAGATACTACATAAATTGGGTAATAAAATTGGAAAATTACTCAAAATAGATGCATGTACCTCAGAAACCACCCGAGGAAGATAAGCCAGACTCTGCATCGAAGTGCCATTAGAACATCCCCTAAAAACCCACATCTTCATTGGTAGCCACGGGCAAACCATCCTCTATAAGGGCTTAAATTTGCTCTGCACCACCTGTGGAAAACTAGGACATACTACACGAGTTTGTACCCACTCCCCACCAACACCTACAGTCTCAAACTCCAAACCCCTCGATAGATCAAAACTCTCAAAATACTACTGCCCAAACTCCATCAACCTCGACTCTTTCTCCAAATCAAGAATGGAAAGTAGTTCAATTTCCAAGAAAATCACTACCCAAATCCCGCGCCGCCCAACCAACATCCACTCTGTTGGCAGCAGGTCTCATTCCGCTGCCATGTATATCTCAAGGGACCCACGCGAACAATCCAGGTTTGTCTAAAAATCCTAATTCTCTGCTTTTTACTAATCTTAAAACAAATGGGGCGGATAAAGAGTCCCATAATCCTAATCACCACGTTTTCTCTCTCATAACTAACACTAATAAATTTTCTCACCTACTGATTAGTGATGTATTAATTAATGAAGAAACCACTCTCAACAGCCCATTAATCCCTACACCCACTAACATACCCCTACCCCATGAACATGGCCAACCAGCCCACTTGGAGACAGCCCACTTACTCACACAAAAGCTGGACCATGCAACCCTATTGGCTGGCCACGTTACCCCCAAGACATGCAGGAACCCCTAAATCTATCCATTCAATCCAACTCAGCTAGCATACTAAACCTAGACCACCATAATTCCCCATGCCAAATCAGTAACAATTTTCATAATACCAAGACAAAAATTTCCTCTAAACCAATACAACCTATTACCTTCCCCATGTAGATAGCCCATGATGATATCTCAAAACCCAATACCACACCTCAATCATCTCAATCCAACATACATAGCCCATCATCAAAACCAGAACCGGCTATTTCTACTACTAACATACCTCTACATACACAGACACCATCATCAACCTCAAATACCACGATGCCTTCACGTTCATCCTATTCAAATATTCAAGATGTATCCCACTCAATTTCCCCAGCCACACAGAAGAACCAACTACCACAACAGGAACACTACTCACAGACTAGTGAATCAACGAACCTCACACTCAACTCCTCCTCCACAACTCAAATACCAGAATATTCCTAGCCTAAACACCCCATGCAATGACCAACCCAACATCTTGGTTGGAAGTGGGACTCCAAAACCATGCTCTCACCTTCACCATGGAAGTAAACAATCAAGAAGTAACAATTCTCATCAACAGCCCGATGTACCTTGCTCAAATAATCACGGAGGGGATGCGATTAGGGACAGACATCTATGGCAGGTACCATTGGTTTATGATGCAAGCCCCATATCTAGCACCCTACCAACCTCTAAATCCACCAACGCCAACCTGGGACACAACCCACCTATATCCCAATATCATTCAAATGCCATTCTACCCGCCAACACAACTAACCCCCTCAACACCTTGGATACAACCATACTTTCTACCAGCTCCACCAGTCACACTAATGGAACCACTGACCTCGCCTACCCAATCCCCACCACAAACCCCGCCACCTCCTCACAATCTCACCGCATAAAACGACGATTTTCAACAAGAAGTGGCAGCAATGATGACCTACAACAGGGAAACACGCCCAGTCTTAGCTTGGCTCGACGGCATCAAAGTCTTTGTCCAGAAGGAGGAGTACGCAAGAAAAATACATCTAAATTGCCCTCCAAACCTCCTACGATGCTCCCTCCGCATACGACCTACAACAAATCCAGAGGTGGGAAAGTATGCAATACTACTGATTCCCACACTCCATCTACGCCCAGGGGAGCACAACAACACCCAGGAGGACATGCAGGGCAGCCAACTGCCTAATCAATCCAATAATTATATGAATTTCATCATATGGAACTGTAGAGGAGCTCAATCTCCTGAATTTAGACGTAATTTTCACTCTCCACTTGATTATCATCCTCCATCTTTAGTCGCTTTACTTGAAACACACCGTGTTGAGCACCAAACCTTGAAAGAGGACTTTCACTTTACGGGAATGGCTGAGGTGGCCGCTGTGGGACAATCTGGAGGAATTGCAATTTTGTGGCATTGTAAAATTCAGGTAAACCCCCATCAAGAGATTCATTGTAAAATTCAGGTAAATCCCCTCCCTTACAAATGATTATTTACTGTCATATATGCTAGCACAAAATCTTTAAATAAACAACTTCTTTGGGAAAATCTCATGTGCCTATATGATAATTATAAGGGGCCATGGCTAATAGGAGGGGACTTTAATGAAATAACTCATGCATCCGACAAATTTGGGGGAAGAACAATAAATATTTCTCGCTCAAATAAATTCCTTGACTGCATTAATTATTGCCACCTAAGTGACCTAGGTTACAAAGGCAGCCGTTATACTTGGACTAACAGTCGTTCCAATAGACATAATATTCTAGAACGTATAGATCGTTTCCTCGCAAATTATGATTGGATAAATCACTAACCTGATGCACTAGTTACACACCTCCCCATACACATTCCGACCATTGCCCACTATTACTTCAACTGAACTACCGTCCTTTACCTCGCCAAAAGCTCTTCAGATTTGAAATAATTTGGGCCTCTCACCCAACTTCTCCCGCAATAGTTCAACAAGCTTGGCAAGCCCACCCCATCTACTATCAGCTATTGCACAATTTACTGAAACAGTCCAAGAATGGAACAAAACCACTTTTGGAAACATATTCAAATGTAAAAAAAAAAAAAGCTCTTAGCTCGTCTGGCGGGCATCCAATCCTCCATCAATTATCCCACTAGCATATTCCTCCAAGAGTTGGAACGTTAGTTATTATTCGACTTTAAACACCTCCTTAAGCAAGAAGAAGACTTTTGAAAATTAAATCGCGTATAAACTGATTAAATGAAGGAGATGCAAACACAAAATGTTTTCATCTCTCCACTTTAAATCGTAGACGCCATAATTGTATCACGGCTATACAAGACCTAGGTGGAAATTGGATAACTGATCCCCACCACATTAAAAATCATATTACCAATTATTATCAAATTATCTTTACCACAAAATCAATTATTAACTATAGACAAAACCACATGCACCCTTCTAATGTATTAACTCCGGCCAATCAAATTTCTCTGGATAGCCCACTTCAAGACAAGGAGATTTTAGATGCATAACACTCTTTCAAACCCTTAAAAGCACCTGGCCTAGATGGGCTACACCCATACTTCTCCCAAAAATATTGGAACACTATCGACACTTCAATCAAATATTTTTGCCACAAAATCTTTAATGATCATAGGATCGAACCTTCTATAAACAACACTCTCATTTGCTTAATTCCCAAACACAAACATGCTTCTTCTATGTCACAATTTAATAAGCCTTTGTAATACTATTTATAAATTTATTATAAAAATTATTGTCAATCGACTAAACCGATTCTGCAACATCTTATAAATCCCACCCAATCCAGTTTTCAGAAAAATAGACGAGATGCAGATAATGCAATTATTGTTCAAGAACTAATGTCTCGTTTCCGTAAAATGAAAGGGAACACTCCACATATGCTTCTCAAATTAGATCTTGAGAAAGCTTTTGATAAACTAGAATGGTCATTCATACAACATACCTTAGTTTCACTAAAGTTTCCTCCAAATTTTATCAAACTCATTATGTCTTGTGTCACAACCACCTCCACCCCGATCCTAATCAACGGCAACCCTACTAACTATTTTAAACCATCGTGAGACATCCGTCAAGGGGATCCACTATCACCATACCTATTCATCCTCTGTCTGGAAATGCTCTCCCGAAGTATAAATACGGCGGTGGACTATCGCTCTTGGCAATCCATATCCTTGGCTAGTAGATGCCCGTTAATATCCCATCTATTCTTTGCGTATGATATTATTCTCACTGCAAAAATTACACCTCTTACCTGCAACTCCATAATTGACACTCTCAATCATTTTACAGCTCACTCAGGACAAAATATTAATTTTCACAAATCCAAAATCTTTTTCTCAAAAAATTGCTCAACCACCACTAAACCCTCAGTGTTACACCTTTTTCATATGCACGAAGGGAAAACTTTTGGAAAATATTTAGGGTTCCCCATATTTGTTAAGCAACCCTCAAAATCAGATTTCCAATTCCTATTGGATAACTTCAAAAATAGACTTGCAGAGTGGAAAACAAAATTCTTGACTAAGGCAGGACGTACCACTCTAATCCGTTCTACCCTCAACCACCTACCCAATCATGTCATGTAATATATAACAATCCCCAACAATATTCTCTCCCAACTCAATCGCTACCAACAAAATTTTCTCTGGGGAACAACACCTCAAAAGAAAAAACTACACCTCCTAAAATGAAATACGGTTACACTACCAATAGACCAAGGAGATTTGGGAATCCAAAACCTTTCCATAAAAAATAAGTCTCTACATGAAAGCCTTGCTTGGCGACTTTTTCATAATCCCACTGGGCACAATGCCTCCTAAACTCATATATAAGACCCAACAACCTGTGCAAGCGCCATGTATCCTTTATTTGGCGTAATATCATCAAAGGTTGGTCCTACTGTCGCCTAGGTTACAAATGAAATATTGCTAATGGCCATAACGTGAAATTTTGGACCGACCCCTGGCTAAAAGAAAACATGCCCCTTCGCTCCTGCATTTATGGTCCACTAATGCAACATGAGGAGAATAAAGTAGTTTCCAAGTACTACTCCAATCAAGAATGGCAACTTACAAGCCTATCTTTTTGGTCTTCCAAATAACTTAACCACATTAATCAAGAGTACCTATATGCCTCTTAATACAACCAATTTTGATCAAATCTTCTGGAGCATTACCAATAACGGCCACTTCTCAGTCAAATCCAGGTACCACTCGCTCACCCCAATTGACAACCCAACTCCATCGTTCAAATGGATTTGGAAACTCTCAATCGCACCAAAAATATCCTTTTTCCTCTGGTTGCTGGCACACAACAGACTCCCAACCGCTGAATATCTCTCCGAATTAGGCATCATCCCATCCAATATTTGTGCTATTTGTAATAGGGCACCTGAAACAGCAAAACACATTTTTCTTGAATGCCCTCAAGCTACCAAATTATGGGTTTTTCTCAATTTAACACATCTACTCCACTGCCTTACTCCAAATCACAGACCATAGGACATGGATATACAGGCTTCTACACACGCCACTTCCCCGCCCCCCCCACATGACATTCCCAAAAATATCCTTCTTCATTTTTCTCTATGGCACCTATGGCATATTCGGAATAAAAGTACACTGTAACATAAAAGACTAAACATCGACATTCCTATGTTAGTCACTAAAGCAGCTGAACACTACTTCCTAACGAACAACAGCAAAAAGAAAACAACAAACACTCCTTTATACATTAAATGGCACCCTCAACATGTACCTTGTTATAAACTGAACATAGACAGATTTGCTTTACCTATGCTACATAACTATGGAATAGGCGGTGTATTTCGAGACTCATAGGGTCACTGGATCATGGGTTTTGCTGGTAAATTACATCAAACTAGCAGTGTCCATACAGAACTCCTTGCGTTATTCATGGGACTGCAAATTGCTTTACGCAACAGACTCACACATCTCATCATTGATACAGATGCAACGGAGGTCATTGGCATACTCACAAAAACTAACATTCATTATACTAATATTGTTGATGACTGCAGGTTGTTGCTCCTACAGCTGGGTAGCCCACCTATCCATCATATCTACAGGGAGCAAAATAGCGTGGCAGATAGTTTAGCTAAATATGGTGCCAAGCAAGCAGATGGTAGCAACTGTCTTCTTTTTGCAACACCACCACTTTTTGTCCAGGAATTTCACCATCAAGACCAAGTAGGAACAAATCACCGGAGGCTTGTTAAACCCTGTTCTTCCACCAGCTCTTTGACGCCTACCCTGGCAGCTCCATTACAGGACAAAACAGCCTCTTCTTTAAATAGTTTTTCTAGTAATGTTTTGACTTGTAACGCACCCTATGAAGGTGTGCAACCGGTAGACTCTACTATGAATATCTTAGTTACTTTTATGCCTACAATGCATCCTGCTCCCTGTGCTGCTATCCACTTTTAGTTTCTTAATATAAGTACTTCCTTTATGACAAAAAAAAAAACTAATCACTCACTCCCGTTGTGTTTGTCATGCTTTCCTTTTCCCAACTCCTTGGCCAATTTTAAGTATTCATCTTCTCTACAAGGTTATATATATTAGGGGTCAAAGACGAACCCTTCACCGCATCGGGAATTATACCCCGAATGGATGGATTAATTACAAAAAAAGTTATATACAGTCGTCTTCCACATTCTCAGCAACAATGCCAATACATATATATTTGATTCCCTAAGATCTACCAATGTCTAATATGAGTATTAAAACCTGTCAAAAAGAAGTGCCAAAAACTATCTATAATCCAACTATTTTTCAATGACTAAACGGTAGAAAATTCATTGAAAGAGAAGTAAAGAAGTGGTCGCCACAGCCCACATTCCAGTTTCCCACATCAAAGTCTGAGTGAAAAGATTAGCTGAAAGAAATTGCAAGAGAAAGAATAATATGCCATTTGTGTGCATAGAACTTAAACGTAGGTAAAAAGGTTACTGAAAACCCTCCATAAAGAGTCTTCAATATTATAATTGGAGATAGCTTTATAGATTTATTCTGTATTAGGTTACCAAAAGATATCGATAGGTAACCCTCCATAAAAAGTGCGATCTATAATCTTTAAAATAAAAATCAAAGTTATATGCACAAGCAAAGATTCTTTTACACTATTAGTATATTTTGACTTATTATAGAAAACTGATTTCCATTTAATATTTGTATAGAGACTACTCTCAATTTCCTTTTAAGTGATTTGATGGTGTAAATCTTTTTTAAACCGATAGTGCATAGAACTTGTACTCTATTAGGTGAATTAACTCTTACAAACATGTAAAAATGATTTCATATGGTAGATTATTAGTTAAAACTCAACTTAAAGTAGATAACCATGTGGTTTGTTGACCACATAACACTACGTAGTAAACTCCACATGGTATTAATGTCAAGAATCAAGAAGGTTATGGCATCTTTAATTAGGTGAATATTTGAGTTTTGAACCATTATAAAAGCAGCTAAAGTTAATTAAAGCAAAATCCATGCATCATAATCTTCCATTTCTTTCCTTACTGTTCAATGGAGATTTTTCACTCATCCTCTCTTTCCAATTACTTAGTGTAATGACCCGACTGGTCGTTTTAAGCATTTGCACTTCGCTCGATAGTTTACGGGTGTGAGTAGCCCCGTATAATGTATTTTAACTTGTGTGAATCGTTGGTTAGATTTTTAGGTTATTCGGGACTGATTTGGAAGAATGATTCTCAACTAGGGAGTTTTAAATTTGAAAGAGTTGACTAAGTTTGACTTTTAGTATTTGACCTCGGATTTGGAATTTTGATGGTTCCGTTAGATCCGTTGGGTGATTTTGGACTTAGGAGTACATCCGAATTGTGATTTGGAGGTCTGTGGTTGGATCTGCAAATCGATCATAATCACCCACTGTTTTTACAACAAACTGATACTCCTGGAATAGAGTTGATAGATATTAAGCTTACAGTACTAGAAAACTACCCTTATGGAGCAGATCGATGAGAATGGCTTTGTTAGTGAAAAATAAGCTAGGGTTCATAGATGGAACCTGTTTAAAAGCTCTTACAGAGGAGAATTGGGGCATCAATGGGAACAATGTAATATTGTGGTGCTTTCATGGATAAGTCGCACCGTGTCTACTGAATTGCAACCAAGCATCATCTATGCATCAGATGCGAGGAAGGTATGGATAAGTCGCACATTTTAACAAATCAAACCTTACTATATTTTATCACTTATGGACGACAATAGGAACACTGAGGCAAGGTACCGACTCTATAACATCTTATTATACTAATATGAAGGATTTGTGGGATGAGATGGATTTATTGGTGCTAGGAGCAGGATGTGATTATGAGAAAACCAGGCCTTTTCTAGATCAGTTTAGAAACTTGCGCTTGTTGCAATTCCTTGTTGGTTTAAATAAAAGCTAAAGTCATGTGAGAAGTGAGATCCTACTTTAAAGACCTGTGTTGACTGTTAATCAAGCATATGTATTAGCAGTTCAGGAAGAGAGTCAACGAACACTTAGTGTAGTCAATTCAGACAAAGAGCCTTTTCTGGAAGAGGACAAGGTTTCAAGGCAGCAAGGAAACCAGGTCTCATATGTGATTACTGTGGTTACAAAGGTCACTTAAAGGAGAATTGTTACAAGATTATAGTCTATCCACCAGACTTTAAAAGCAAGAAAAACCTCAAAATACTTGTGTGAAGGGTTATGCTTATGTGTTAGCTGGAGAAGGAGGGAGTTCTAATACTATTACTCAGACACAGGAGCATTACTTCACAGTGGATCAATACAAATAACTATTGGGACTCTTGAACAAACCAGATCCTGATCCATGTGACTGTCATACTCTGATGGCAGGTATAACTTCATTGTTGTCCAAGGTATTTAACTATTATTAGATAATAGATACATGTGCCTCACATCATGTTACACCCTATAAAAAATTATTAGATAATGTACAAAAGATTAAAAACCAAAATAACAATCGTATGCACGTGCCTACATGAGGTAAATGTCATGTAGCACATACAGGAAATGCGAAGATATTAGAGGATTTGACACTAGGGGATATACTGCATATTCTTGACTTTAAATTTAATTTAATGTCAGTCTCTAAATTGACTAAGGAGCTGTCATGTTGTGCTGCATTCTTCCCTAATTTCTGTTTATTTCAGGGTCTTTACAGTGGGGAAGGTACTGGGATTGGTAAAAAACACAATGGTTTATATCTCCTGAAGAAGGAGCTCAATAAGGAATTCCTAGCTATTGCAGGAAGTGTTGTGCAAATGCAGGAAGATTCAACACTTTTGGCACATGATATTAGGTCAACCCTCAACTGTTGCAATGCATCATATTCCTCTTTTAAAGAATAAGGTGGATACCAAGTTACAAGATAGTTGTGAAATATGTCCTTTAGCAAAGCAAAATAGACTACCTTTCCAGCTTAGTACTAGTAAAACAAATCAGATTTTTTAATTTGTCTGTGTAGATGTTTGGGATCGTCACATGATACCAACATATGAAAAAATACTACTTTGTAACTCTGGTGGATGATTTTAGCAGATATACTTGGTTATGTTTGTTACAGTCCAAATATGAAGTAGTTGTTATATTGAAGGATTTCTTTACCATGGTGCATAATCAATTTGGTTTGAATATCAAAAAATTGAGATTAGATAATGGAACTGAGTTCTTCAATTCAAAATGTAATGAGTTGTTGACTTTTATAGGAATTGTACATTAAAGTAGTTGTCCATACACACCCCAAAAAAATGGGTGGTAGAAAGAAAACACAGGCATATACTGGAGGTGGCTATGTTGATACCCAATTTTTGCCCTCATATGTTCTCAAATAGCATATATGACTTCAAAATATCATTTTTGCATTATTATTTAGCTTGCAAATATATACGATCATTTTCTATAATTTTCCATAATTTTTAGAGCTTTTAAATTGATTTTCCTATACTTAAATTATAATTATTAATTACTCCTTCAAATTATTTTGTGATGACTTAGTTACCTAAAATTATTATTTGCACCTATAATACATGTTTCAAATATTTTTACTCATACATGTTTCAAATTAGCATTTTTTAAGCTATTTGCACAATTTTGCAGTAATAGCCTATACTCATACATAATTGCTTTTTATCTATGTTATTTGTGTCAAAATAGTATGTTATCTTTTTATAGTGCTAAATCATTATTTTTAATCATTTTAGTGCATAAATAATATTTTTATACCCCAAACCCTAGAGACAAATCCCCACCCTGCCGCCTCTATATCCTCACACACTCTCATCTCTCAAACCTAAACCCTAGTCGTCCTCACTCAAATCTCAGCCCCAATCCGACATTACATGGAAATCATCCATGATTCTTTTCCTTTCTTGCATACGCGGAGTTACTTACCATCTTTTGAATGCTACAAGTTGATTATTTATGGAAGCTGAGTCGTTGTGTTTGTTTGATTCCGATTCTGTATCATCTTCATGTTTCTGACCTGATACACTAACTATCAGACCCCTTGGCTTTGATTCAGTGAGATTTTTGCCATTTTTGTTCCTCGTCTAAACTAGGGTTTGCTGGATTTGCCCTAGAACCGATTCTAATTGATTTTGCATGCCATATTTTCCTTATTTTGTGTTTAATTTACTGTATTTCCTTATTTTATGTGTTAATATTTAAGTACTATATAAAACCCTCCCCATTCCCTTTTGAGTGAGACCTTTAATCGTGAGATCCACTAAAATTGAGGCTATTACTCTATTGTTCTTTCATTCTCTGTTCTATACTTTGGTTCTTGGCTGGCTGAAAGCCAAGGCCATCGCAATTCGATTCTTCAACCTTTGTTGGTGCGAGCACTGCCTGGGGTTCATTTGAAGCTCTTGGGAACTTTGGCGCACTAAGATTCTAGGTTCATGCTCTTTGTTGATATTCAGAATATTGTAAAATTTGTTATTTCTTGTTGTTTGTTTAACTGGTAAGTCGCTTGGCTTTACGATTTTATTATTTTGTGTTTATGCCCTGCATATCATGCCTCTGAACTTCATGACTTAATATGTTAGCATTTGAACCTATTTTGTAATCTGAACTTTCCTAACACTTGAGTTTACATAATGCTGCCAGTTCTGAGACATGTTTATGCCTGATTTGAACAATTTGGACTTTCTTAAGTTCGTTTAGCTAATGGGTTCTGCGCTACTTCTGTGTGTAACCTTGTTAGTTTTATACTTGTTTTGAACCTCTTTAGTATTTATTTTTTAACCTAAAGCAGCCAGTTTTGAGATATGTTATTTGTTTATGCCTAATCTGGATAATTTGGACCCTCTTAAGTTAGTTTAGCTAATGTATTGGTGCCTGAATATTCACATTTGTTGTTGGGCTTGAATATGCTGTCATGCTTTGTT